AATTATATCTCTTTGCGAAAGTAAAAGTTGCCTCGTTAACCCGATTGCGGCATTTTGGCCACTCCGACTATCCTTTACGGCTGACAATTAAAATCAAATGACGGGGACAAAATGCGGACGTACGATCGAGGAGCCACGATGGAGAACTGGCGCCCATCTCCACGACAGCGTGAAGGGATAAATAATCCGCGTGTCAAAACTCGGTGATAATAACGTTCGAAGTTCTAGGCTAGATTTTTCGTCTCTCGCGTAAACAAAAGAGGAAATTCGACCGATAACGATACGTAATAAAAATATGAGAGGACGATATTTTACGCTCTCGGCGAACCTCTCGCGTAATCCCGGAAACTGGGAGATGGGCGAACGTGCTCGACATCATACGCGTCTCTTTCGCGAGAGCGGGACTAAATGTGTAGTTCCGCGAGGTGGAATCGTCGCTTGTATTCTCGCCGGTGCGCCAGCTCGCGCAATTTCCGCTCGCGATAGAATCCGATGTAACGTCGCGTCTCCCGAGTACGAGGGTCGCGATGCACGCGCGCGTGCACATAACGGCGCGATTTTTCGATCTGACGGTCGGCGAACGCTCGCGGGCGGGGGCGGGAGGGAGGGGGGAAGGGGAACGGGGCGCGTTACGTCTCGAAACTATCGCGCGGGGATCACGGTTCGCCGCAGCCAACCACCCCCCGCCAACCTCGCCCCACATCCACCCCTTCGTCCCGTTGGGTATCGTAATTTCGTCGATAGTAACAACGGTAACAACGACGCCGCCACCGCCGCAGCGCGCCGTTAACCCTCCTCCACCTCTACTACCTCCACCTCCATCTCGTTCTTCCTCTACACCCCCCTGGGATCCGGTTTTTCACCCTCCGCTCCTCGCTGCCGGTTTATGCGTCATCGCGGTCGCGGCTTTCGACCCGACAAACGGAACCCACCGAAACGCGCGCCGTTTGTATTTACTTAACTGGACGGAAACGATATTAATGGGCAACGAGTTAATTAATAAATGAGTTCCGTATCCGAGCGATTCAGAAATATCCATTTGCAGGATGTCAATTACGAATCGAATTTGTTGACGTTGCACGAGAGGGTACCGTCATTTTTTCGAGCGAGATAAACGAACACGATGTTGGAAGAAACTTTTACGATTAAACGGAATTAAGAGGATTAAATTTAATTGAATCAAAGAGCTTTAAGGAAAAGCGTAACGCGATTAATATCTGTACGAGTATCATCGTCATCGTCAGAGTACAATGAACGTGATTTATCGCGCGATGGACGATTTTGAAAGGACTCGCATTCGATTTATCCGGCATCGCATCGCGTGGACATCGGGCAATATGCGGCTCTGTATCTGATCGCGGAGGAAATATATCGTATACGGCGGTGAAAAATTGGCGGCGCGGTTAAAGGTCCGCGAATGGGGTCGGAAGAGGCGGTTAAGCACGGCATTACGCATCCTTTGCATGCGCCCTCCTTTCCACGGGGTGGCAATGCGACTTCATATTTTTCGCGCCGCGAACGTATGGAAATGGAAGCAGAAATGAACGCGACCGTCACAGTCGTCCTCGGATCTCCGCGGTCGTTTGCATTTCTCATAAGCGCGACCGTGTTTTTTTTTTTTTTCGTCTCGCAACCGTACATACGCATCCCCTTTTTTTTTTCTTTCATCGACCCTCGCGAGTGGCTGGCTCGCGAAAAGGAAAGAAGGAGGGGGACAAAAGAGAGAAAGATTTTTGCGCGAATGCTCTGGGCCTGGGTTCCTAAAAGCGTTAGCAACGCTGTTACACGTAAAGCCATAAGATTAGAGCTCGAAAGCTACGTATAAAAGCAGCTTGCGAGAGGCTACATTAAATGATGATATGTGCCTTTATATTGTTAACATTATGTTAGATACATATAAAGAGAAAGAGAGAGAGAGAGAAAAATACAATTTATTTGACATTATCTCGATGTTTTAAGACGAGGATCTTTCAAGGTACACGAATAATTATCTCGGGTATCGTTGTAAAAATAATTACACCGTCACTTTTCCCGCGTAAAAATAAGGATTAAATGCTCCCGTCGCAGCTATTTCAAATATGTGCGATGTCAACAGAGAGTTATATAGAATAATGCTCCGTTTAACAAGACAAACGACAAGAGATACACGAATGAATGCAGATTAATTGTAACGAGGGGGAGCCTCCCAAGGATCGTAACAAAAATTACACGGAACAGCGAGCGGTAAAGAGCGCTACGGAGAGATAGTCGGTAAAAGAGACTGGAAACAAACAGTCAAGATAAATAAGAGGAAAGATTAAGATTAAGTCTGGGCGACGTCAAGGAAGAGACGGGGAGATGCGACTCTTTAATATTTGCATATCTGCATCCTGCGAGGGAGGAGGAATTTGGGGACAGGATGGAGATTCCTTTTCGGTTCAACGCGAAAACGCGATCTCCTTCCCTCTCTCTCTCTCTCCTGCGAAGGATTAAATTAAATTGTTATTATTATCTTAATTATCATTAAAAGCATACCGAGGCGTCTTCTCCTCCTCGAGCCAATGCATATCTCAAAGACTCGCATATCCGCGCGAACGTACACACGTGTACGTGTATTTGTACGAAGATCGAGCTACGAGATGTCGACGTGCATATAATTCTCCCGGGGCGCCATTAAATTGTATTAATCCACTTCCATCACGAAATTGAAGTTCATACGCGATAAACGTACATATCCATCGAGAGACGCGGAGGGTCTTCCCCAACCCCTGTATCGTTATCGATCTCAAACGACAACTTCTTTTTTTTCGATATCTAGCACGAGGATCGCGTAATTCCCCTCCTTTCATCTGTATTAACCCGAGGAGATAGCGCGATGAACAAAGTCGAGTGAGGGATGTTTCAAGTATCGTCATTTTGCAACTGATATCGAGTGTTTTAATCGCCGATTTTTTATATTTTATGCTAGTCGGGGATCGATTAAGAATCTCTCGCGGGTAATAATCCCACCAAATGCTTTGCGTAAAAACCTAAAGATACACACACACACACACACACACACACACACACACACACATGTCGCTTCTCCTTCTTTTTATTCTCTATTCATTTATATTTAACTTGCTTCAAACTTTTAAAACGATATCAAGTAATGACGCTCGCGGTACTTTTTGAAAAATTATAGAATCGATACTTGATTAATGACAATATCAAATGAAACATCCGTGAAATACGACACATCACGATACCTAATTGGTTCGTATGGCACTGCCCTCGGGCTGGGGTTATCTTCGTTCGAGCTTCATTCGTGTTTTCCGACAATACCCGTTGTTTATCCCATATCGCGAAATGAGTTTCAGAATGAGTGGCATGGGAGCGCGTGTTTGCGCGAGGGAGAACGAGAACGGAATTAGACGAGGATGGGCGCGAGTAGTCCTCGGAAATGCATATCTCGTATGCCGCAATCGTTTCGCAAATTGAAAAGCGTTGGGAAAAAAGCCGGAAGCCGGGGATAATGTCCGGTAGCGTCCAAGGGAGGGGAAAGTAAAAGCGACAACATACTTTCCGTCCGTTGCGCCGTCATCTATTTTTTCCACGCGTTTTACATCCGCAAGCTGAATCGTAGCTCCCTTTCGAATCGCGGCATCCCTCTCGTTTCCTTTCTCTCGTAAAACTCATGTGTTTATGAGTACGCTCACGCATGCGCACGCGCGCGTTAAGAACGAGACGTTGTAAACTCGCGCGTGCATAAAAAATCCGCATTTGCTGGCAGGAATAATTTCGGACGTTTTGGCTTTTACGAAATTTTAAAGGATTTCAACGACTGCCATTTTGTCCTCGACGAGTGCAAAGATGTACGAGCTTGAAACGGTTTAAACCGTCATTTTAAATTCAATAAAAGAAGAAGACATCCGCGAAATTTTAAAAACGCATCTTTTGCATTATTCGCCGCATAAAATGCAAGCTCTAACTGCCGTCAATTTTATATCGTAGATTTCGCGATTTAGTTTTCAAACAGAGATCATCCGCGGATCAGATATTAGTATAATAGTACTTTTAAATTTTTTTCCGCGAGCAAATCCTAAAGCATATTTTACCGCTGCTTTAAACCATTTCAAATACTTAAGTATTCAACTCTTACACTCTCCGCAAACTCGAATGCATAAGTCACTCGGGCCTGCTTAAAAATTCAGAAACTCAGCACTTTAGTTATTACCAATAGAACGTCATTCTCGTCGCGGCGGAATAAATGTATGACTACTTTCAAACGGCTAGTGCGGCAGGAATCGGTAATATCTCGAACGCGGCCCAGCCCTTTCGCGCAAAGTATATCTCTCCTATTTCATAACTTTCCTAATTTCGCGAATAGAGAGAAGCGAAAGAGAGAGAAAGAGAATATCGGCGATCCTAAAAGGATGAGGGAAAAAAAACATTTGGCATCGTTATTGGCGAAAAATTAAGAAAATATTGACGCGATAAAAATGAAGTATTTCCAAAGTTTAATAAAATATCGAAGCGGGTACTTGGCGCAGCGTTGCAAATTTATCGCTTTGAAGAATTTTTCGCGGAAATTTGGAGATCACGAGACACTTGTGCGAGCGGTGAAAATGACAAGTGTTGAGCGCCGGACAACAATTTCCGATGGCTACCTTCCAGATAGCGGCTCAATGTGCGCGTTATCGTCAAACGCGCACCCGCGCTCATAATAGCGACCGCAAATAGGCCATCGACGTTGCGCACGTTGCGAACAACAAAAGCAAAACAGCATCGCGCGACGGTCAAGCAGCCCCGGCGGATGTCCGAAACGCCGCGCATTCCCGACGCGGATCGTCGGCGATTAATCGAATCGATCGAGCAGCGCGCGGCGCGACGGACACGTCTAGTCGTACCCCTCTCTCTCTCTCCCTCTCTCTCTCTCTCTTTCATAGGCTAACAAAACGGCTCGACAAAGGCCCCGATTCATGCGTCAGCGCACGAGGTCGGGTCGACGCAAAAACCAACAACGTACAAAACACACTTACCTCCGATCCATCCGAGATAGAGCAGTAACACGCTGGTCAGACCGATCCCTTGGGTCCAATCCATGATGATCCAGGCCGATTTCTTGCCGTCTCCGACCGCGGAGTCGTTCGACTCTGAGGAAGAGAAGAGACGAGTTAGCGGGACGCGGGCAACGTGGCTCACACACGGGATCCGCCGCGGGGGGGAAGGAAGAAGCGTGTGGGGGGCCCCGATCGAAGATCAACCTCACTGTACTCCGTGTTTCTCCGATCGCGCACAATCCACCCTCTCGGCTTGATTCACATTAAAAATTCACTCGCAAATATATATATATATATATTCGTCGATTTCCTCGCGACTTTTGTCCCTCGCCTCTCCTGCTTCTCTCACCGATCCGCGCGCACGGAAGTTTCTCGCCGACTGACCCGCACTCGGGGGGCTCGGCGCACTCACCACTAACCCTCTCACGGGGTACGACACGCGTCCCGATCGTGCGGCGAGCACGCGTCGCGCGGAAATAGCGGGTGGCACAGCGGCGAGAAGGCACCCAGGGGGGGGGAGAAAAAGAGGGAGAGAGGAAGAGAAAGAGAGAGAGCGCGCGTCTCTCCGTGCCCCACGGTGATCGCGTGTGCGGAGTAGTGGCGACGCGGCCTACGGGCTTTGGAGCGCGGGGTGCCGCTCCCCTCCACCACCCACGCAGCGGCACCGCACGGTAATCCTCCTCCCTTCCCCCTCTTTTTCTCTCTCTCGGTCGTTCGCACGCGCGCGCCCGAGAGTGCCCGATGTCGGAGCAGCGCGCGACCGAGATAGGGGCACCCCGGCCCCGAACGAGCCCGAACCAGCGAGAGGCCAAGAGAGAGGGAGAGAGAAAGAGAAGGGGAGGAAAGGGAGATTTCTGCGAGCGCCTGTGCGGGAGTCGCACTCTACGCAACAACGTAAGGCGGACTATGAGTGCAGGGTGCGGATAGAAATGCCTGCTTTCAAAGTATCCCCCGGATACTTTGCTTTCGACGCTGACTAGTTTTGGCAGAGTATGCCTCACTTTTGATATTGCGAGTGCGCCCTATAGATAGCGGCCGGGGTGGAATAGGAAGCATCTCGACGAGATGAATAATCTTGAATAAATAATGCACGATAATAATATACTTTACGAAAACGATAATCTCGAATAATTTGCTAGTGTAATTTTGCGACAAAAATACGCGTCAAATTCGCGCGCGCGCATCAAATTTCAATTATAATTCTTTGAAACATTTTCTTGTCGAGCAATTTTTCTCACGAATAAGATATCGATACTTTTGGAGGAAGATGACCTCGGATATCTCGTAGGAAGATATCGAATGACTGACTAAAAGTATCGGTATTCTATTAAGAGTCTAAGCGCTCCTACGCCGAGTGAGTAAAAGCATACACTCATACACACACATATATACGCATCGGCACTTAAAGTTAAGTATTCCTTCAGTCGGGAAAGAGTAGTAGGATATATCGGCTCGGCTTTCGCTCGAGCGATAGACTCCTTGTATCGTTTCGATTTTAGTGGCGCGGATGGGGCCCGAAAAGTTAGCCCCCTAAAAGGAGAGCTTTTCGGTACCTCTTAAACTCTGGTTAAACTCTTTCGTTCTGCGGTCTACACTCGAGCGAATTTGATATAAATGCGTCGAGTTGTATGAAACGTTTTTCTTTGTAACTTTTAGTTATGCGGCACCAAGTCAAATACATGCACTCGCAAAATGATGTATAACCCTCCCCTCCTATATATATATATATATATATATATATATATATATATATATATATATGCGAAATCTCGTCTGCGAGGCATCAAGATTGCCTTGCGCGTTTTCAAGTGCATTATAGAGAGATATATCAAAGACGATACGTTACAGCCAAGTTGAGAATATCGTATCTCGCGCGCAGAGCGCGACTGCAATAAGAATTTTTTTGATTGCAGCGAGTAAAAGGATCACAAAACCTTTGAGAAATAAGAGCTGGAAATGTTTCAGTTCCCTCCTTCTCCTCCTACTCTTTCCCGTGTTAAATGATTCCGTGTTCAAGGGACGCTTATATCGAATTCCACCTAGCATGTACGGCGTCAGGTTGCACCTGAAGGCGTAGTAAACCGAATGAGAGCGGCAGGGATGTAATCGTAGAGAAGAATCGAGACCTGTATGCGTGGGTGGATGTGTGCTGCGCGCGTGCGCCGTCGAGTAAAATACGACGGATACGTAATGAGAATTTCTAATATCGAAAATCAAAAACGCGGAAAAGTAATGCTCTCGCGCGATCGATACCACACTTTTCGCTTCCGCGGCCGAATACGAACCGGAAACGGACTAGGCAAACAGATAGATATATGTGGAGCATGAAAAGCAATGTTGTGTTTGCGGACGTCAGGTACAACTGGGAACTATTCTGTGACGGATTTATAGTACGCGGGGCCCGCAGCGCGGCTGCCATTTTTCCGCACGCGAGACCCTCTTATCGATCTGTCAAAATATTGAGATCTAGCCGTGAGTGCAAGTTCTTAAACGTTGAAACACGCCCGCCACGCAATTAATTCGAGAGAGATACTACCCGCGATACAAATTATCGCCAATAATAATAATCGCGTCTGTTTTCAATTATATAATCTTTATTATAAAATCTGCGTAATTAATCGCGGCCGATTGCAATTTCACCAAGATTAAATTAATTTGTGTGTATTTTTTATATTTATCCTCTTATTCAAAGAGTCGGTTAATACAAAACAATCCGGCGATTCTTGCATCTCGCCCTGTGCGCGGGGAAAACGGAGAAGGAGAAAAAAAAAATAATTACTCCCTGGCACACTTTTCTCCAGACTCCCCCCTCGCCTTTCCATCCCCCTCGCGATTTCTTCTTTTTCCTCGTCTTTATTTCGGAAGCACGAAGCCCTTAAGCTCCGAGCATCGCGCGTATCCATAAATCCGCCGGCGGCGGAACCCTCCGTAGTAATCAGACCGCGCTATTCGCGGCGCGTCACCCATCTTACCGTGGCTCCCACCCCCCGAGTTCCTCCCCCGCCACCTTGTCTTCGCGTCCAACACGTCCGTCCTGGTTTTCCTGCCGCCGTCGCGGGTCAACACGCAAACTCGTGCAACGCCGTGCAACTTCCAAGAGCTTCCGTTTACACGCGGTCTCCTGTTTATAAGCCGAAGTGAAATCCCGGCGTTTCCGCTCGCGGATTCGAAACGAACGGCGGAATCGGCGAGTACGAGGCGCATGAACCGCCGGGGACCCGAGTCGTTTGTCTCCTTCCCCGTTCCCGGTTTGCGGACCACACATAAGCGCGCGCGCACGTACACACGTACACAGAGTATTAGATTAAGGGCCACGTCCGCGCGCGCGCGCGCCGAGAGACTAACGACGGGACTAGCGATGCGACAGGGAGATAGACGCCCTAACGTTGCCCCGATACCATTGTCGCGGTCTATCGTGACTAGCCGCGTCGCCAGTCGACACACAGGACGATCGGGGAATCACCGGTCCTCCCTTCATGCCGTAGAGGTCGCAATCCGCGCGGGACGGCGTCGACGTGTAATGAAATTACTCGATATTCTCCCCGCACCGCACCGCACCGCACCGCACCGCACCGCACCACATCGCGCAAACGGACAGAGCATTAACCATCGCGCCTAGTTATCGTACATCGTGTGATAATAGACGCGGACGTGAACGCTCCCAAATCCCAATTTCGTGCTTTCGATTACGAGGATGCGTCGTAAGAAGGGCTAATCTTGCGTCGCAGAATCCTCGTTATCTCCCTCATCGTTATTGACATTGATAAGACTGTAATTTTGCTACATTATACCGTATTGTATATAGCGCTGAATTAAAAAGCACGTATCCGCTCGGCAAATTTTCCTCGATTACGGGCGCTAGGAGATAAGATCCGCGCTATAGTCAGACTATAATTCCGACGGCGACGGCGCAATTGACGTATCGGAGTGTCGATACCGCGAGAGTGTAACAAAGTTATTTGATACTCGGCACGAGACACAAACATTAAGGGAGCCGCAACAATCGCGGCTACGGTGCTTGCACAGCGGTATACAAGGATGCAGCCTTGCGGAACGTAATTCCAAGACGTTGATGACGTTGCGAACATAATGAAATTACGTAGTAGTTAGCCCGAATCAAATTGACGTAGAGGTACACGACCGTATGACCAATAAGAGTAAAGTAAGTACACATCCCTTTGAGTTACGTCGCATCCTTAATTGGATGATTAAAGAGTCGATGAAAAAAAAAAATGCAAATTTCAACTCTCGATCTAATCTGCCGGATCGCTAGGAGCCGGAATAAATAAATCAATAAATAAATAAAGCATCAAAGTAACAATTCTCTCGCCGACTAGTCGCCGATAGCGCACGAGTGGCTCTCTTCCGCGGAGCCACGTAATTTCAAGTAATTTGCGCGACACATCGGATAACTCGATTGCGACCGCCACGTGCGACCATGTACGAGACGAAACTGCTCGGTCAGTCGAGTCAGAGACAAACAGATGAAGCGCTAAAAATCCGCCCGACTGCCGGGCTTCGTCGTGCGCGACCACGAATATGGAAATTTCAGGGTTTCGGACTCGGAGACCACTAACGAGCGCGCTAACCGTGCACGCTTTCAGTAACGCCATAGCGTATATACACACAGATATACAGATATACATACATACATACATACATACATATATATATATACTCACACATGTATACACGCGTGTACCCGTCCGTGGCGACGACGGACGGATGGGTTAATCCTATCTAGCGTAATAGTAGCGGGTCAACGACATCTTTTGCAACGAGCAAACTTAGCTGGCCCAACAAGCCATACATCAAATTGCAGCTCACTCTTTCTCCTTTTCTCTCAACGAGCTGGCTTTTCGAGGCTGGCGAGGACGACCGGAACGTTGACAGGACGTGGTAAAAACGTGGTCGGAAGTCTACGCCGCGACTAAGAACAAAGCGACGGAAAATGTCGCGCGAAAGGAGCGCTAGTTGTCGCGCGGAACCAACATTCGTCCTTGAACGTGCCAAGTTTTTCCGCCGAAAGCACCCGCGCGTCTGCCGGTCCGGAATTATGTCGGGGAATATATGAGCCGTTTATCTTGAAGATG